CTTCTATACTATGGTACCGATACTCCCTTTCAGTATTGATAATATTTTGGCATTTTGTAATCCATGGTACCAATACTTTCCTTTTAGTATCGATACCCCATCAGTATCAATACTAATTGTATCAGAACCAATATTGTTCATCGCATTTCTACCCATTTAAACCTATAGTATTGATATTGTTCTTCCAATACCGATACTCCTACCTAGATTTACCATTTTTCAGCCCGATTTTTACTAAATTTTCCTTAAACCTCTTACTTTTACCACCAACAGTACTATTAAACTCTTCTTTACTTAACCCAACTAACTTTACTTTTTTAGATTCTTATAAAATCTAAAATCTCCAAAGAACATCTCAAACTAAAAAGCATTCCACTTTTTCTAACATGTTTTAATCATATCCAATGCTTGTAATCTCTTATTCACTCCTTTGACAAGTCAAATATACTAATAAACCTCAATAAAAACTAATATATCAACATATCATTCAAAAACCCATTTCCCTTAATCTCAAATAAAACTTCTATTTCTTAGTTTTAATATTCTTTAACCCATCCTTAGGCTTACATATCACTTAAATAGAAAACCATAGTCGGAAGGAAGAACTAGCTAAACAAAATTTACCTTTTCTATGGAGGAGAGCACAACCCATGGGAGGAAGAAGAAGAGGAGTAAGTAACTTAGCTAATCTTTTACTTTCCCTTTTTTCTTAAATTCGTATTCTTTTAAAAGTTTTAATTTCATTTCCTTCCAAAGGACCAAAATGCCCTTTCAATTATCCTTTTCTTACTAATTGGTCTTACTCAAATCATTCCTTATACTTTAACATTTATTAAATTAAACCCCCAAATTTTTAATTTTTTTTTCAAAATAGTTACTGACCTATCATTTAGGGTATTACATTCTCTGAGTAAACTTCAAGCATTATTTCGTCGCCGATCATTTCTCCAGTTGCTACACCTATTGTACCATTAGATTTCTTACTTCGTCCCAAGTGTAATAGTGTTTGTCTTGTTGTAATAGTCAACAACGTATGAAGGGATGAGGTGAAATGAATTCCCGACGTTATCGAATCGAGCTCTCCGCTGTTCACCGTTGTGAACCGAGCTAGGTATGTGTCTTAAAACGCTTAAAAATATTTTTATAATTTTTTTCATCACCAAACGACACCTCACGAGCCGCTAACTTGTGTTCGACCTGTCTGATCCGATTTGTACCCGCATCCGACTCGACCCGTAAACCCTTCAGCCTAAACCCAAACTCAAACAGGTCGAACCCAAATCAGTCCAGTCGAGCCGCTTTCAGTAACTGTCGCCATTGATCGCTGACGTTGAATGTTGATTGGAGTTGACTTTTTAGAAAACCTTTCTCTTGAATTTTTTGTCGTCCTAAGTTTGATTTTGCTATCTGTTTTGCCAAATTCTCACCCAAAAGCCCCAAATCAAGCCCATTAATCTAAAAAGGCTTAGTATTTTTAGCATTTTTACTTATTTATTTGGGATTTGATTATGGAATTAATATGGGATTCTATTTTCTTGAAGGTACTAATAATGTTAAATATTCAAACTGCATGATATATGTATTACCTCATGCTTTGACTTATGATATATGATACCCGTATATTTCTGACATGATATCTAGTTACTGTTTTGTATCTGATTCAAAAAAATGCCATGTTTTAATATTTTATTAAGTTAAACCACTATCTTCACTCAAATTCATGCATATTTACTATCACTGGGGAGATATGATTGGAGGAAGTATCTCGGACCTAGTCTATGACTTGTAAGACCTTACGTAGGCTCATATGTTTTGTGCATAGGCTAAGACCTTACCGTAGGACCTTATGCTATCAGTATAAGATCTTTACAGGGTGTTCAGTGGGTGTATGGTTCAGGGAAACTACACATTATGGTGTTTGGATGGGTAATATTCATGTTTAGAAATCATATTTTATAAATAAACTTATACCGAAATATTTTATATTTATGTTTTTATACACCGCAAGGAGCACACTGAACTTTTTAGCTTATTCTTTAATTTTTAACTTTTCAAATATTATCCAACAATAGGCTAGTAGACTTGACATAAGAAGGATCGACTAATTCCGTTTGTTTTACTATATATTTTATTACGCCTATCTTTGTTATAGTTTGGTGACACGTGCTTTTACTTTCATCTGTATGTATTTGTATTATCGATATTTTGTTTTGAACTTGTTTTCATATAGATTTTGAATGATATGTATATATATATTTACAATTATGTATTTTGTATTTTACCATTATTCGTATTCATTTACTGAAATGGACTTAAAGTGCATTTTGAATATGAAAATGATCTCTGAATACGCTATATGACCGCCTAGATTTGGGCGTACCATCTAGGTTGAGTCTACGGGGTTATAAGTGGGCTATATATTTGGGTCGATTTATTAGTAATTTTATATATGTTAGGGTTAGGGTTGGAATGATAAAAGGGTAATAAATGAGAGTTTTCTGCCGCTTTCTCATGTCCTGTCGTTCTTCTACTTTTCCTGTTCTCACTGTCTCTCTTCCTCTTCTTCCTATTTAATATGGTTTTCTGCTAAAGTGCAAAGGCTCTGCGCCCGACACCTAAAACCCACAGGCACGCGCCTCCGGTAAATCGCCTCGTCCCAATATAGGTGGGTGCTACCTTCATTGTCCGGCTGCACCTTGCGCCTAGGCGCACTCGAGGCGCGCCTTTTAAAACCCATCTTTCCTCTCTTCTGGCTCTACTATCCCAACCACTAATCACTTGTTACAAGGATTTACATTATGGTTGCAATCGGATTTCCAATCGTGCAACGTTTATTATAGTTGTGAACATAACATTTGTTACTACAATCATTACAAGTATCACAATCGTGAATATTTTTTAAAGGAGTTAATTTTTTTAATCTCCATCACAGCATTTCTTCAATTAAAGGAGTACACAAAATGATTGCCATAATAAAATAATTTTAAGGTTATAAATAGCCAAATCGATTTTAATTAACTTTGACTTGGGATTTTGAATAATATTCAAAGATTTTCCAGAATCATGAGGCCAAAATAAAAACAATTTGGGTTATACCTTTTTCTTTGTTTTGGATTTCATACGGTTTGGTTAGCTTTCGGACCAAATTAATAAGATTTGTGAATTTAAAGGATTAAATTTATCAAATTATTTATAATTAAGGTTGAATTTATAAATATAAAAGACTAAATGTAGAACTTTACAAATTTTAAATCTATCAAATTAGCAATTTGTTTGACTAAATTCAAGAGTTAAATTAATATTTTATCTAAAGTTTATAGGTTAAATTAATCTTTTATCTAAAATTTAGCACCAAATTAGTATTATGTCTAAAATTCAAAGGTTAAATAAAATTTAAATATTTCTAGTATCGTATTAAATCATCAAACCAACAATACTTAACAGTCCAATTAGGTGTGTATTCGGTTCGGTTCGGTTCGGTTTTTTACCAAAAACTGAACCGAACCGAAATAAACGATTTTTCAATATTTAAACCGAAACCGAAACCGAATAGTTAAAAAACCAAAAAAAACCGAAACCGGTTTTTTCGGTTCGGTTCGGGTTTTTTAACGGTTCGGGTTTTTCGGTTCGGTTCGGTTTTTCGGTTTTTCAATTAAAAATCACTTGAAACTATAATTTTTTTTACAAAAATTGCCTATTCGGTTCAATATGGAACAAATGGGTTCCATATGGAAAACCCGAACCGAACCGAATCAAAAAAATGAAGCATTTAAACCGAACCGAAAACCGAACCGTTTAAAGCCAAACCGAACCGAACCGAACCGTTTTACTCGGTTCGTGTCGGTTTTTCGGTTTTCTCGGTTTCGTTGCTCACCCCTAAGTCCAATACCAAAATAAGACAAATCGAAAACAAAAGTGACTATAATATAACTTTTTAAAAACAAGTGACCAAAATAAGACATAATGAATACTAAAAGGACAAGCACTGTAGTTTACCTCTTAATATTTTATATCAATTTCATATATTTAATTTTTATTTAGTTTTTTAATAAAAGCAAATATTTTAGCAGATGCTGCTCGCTTGGTTTGAATGTGTATTGGGTAGCAATATTCAAATAACAAACATATAAAAAATGAATTCAAATATAATAAGAAATAGGGCAAACTACTAAAATGACAACTTAACTATAAGGTTGGTGTCGATATAACCTTCATACTTCTAATTTTGGTAATATGATCACATAACTATTTAAGTGGTTACGATATAGCCACTTGCCGTTACAAAACAAACGACGTAACTGATGTGGACCTCTGACTCGCCGTTAGTCAATAACAACCACATCAGCTGCGCCAATGGTTTTGTAACTATAAGTGGCTACATTGAAACCACTTAAATAGTTATGTGGTCAAATTGCTAAAACTGAAATTATGGATGTCATATCGACACCACCCGCATAATTAAGTGGTCATTTGAGTAGTTTACCCTAAGAAATATTAAACAAAAACTCATATTCTTCATTCAGCCTGCAATGGATATCTTCACTACCTTTCTATTGACCATTATAGAAAGACAATGAGCTCAAGCTATATTATCCGAGCTCTTTAATTTCTTAAAATATTAGTGTCCAACATATTCAAACATGACTATCAAACATATTCCTCTAATATATAATACACACTTGGAATAATTTAAGCATGCTCGTTTCCAAAACTAATCCGAATCTGACTTAGAATTACGAATCTGAACTTATTCTGATAGAGCCTACTCTTTAGAATACCGGTATGGTCTGGAAGTTACCTCATTTTAAGCAAAGCTAGGAAGCTAGATTATGGTAAGCAAAGGTGGCCGACGAATAAAAACTAAACTTGAAAAAAAAAAACAAGCAAAAATCGTCCCACGTTTTTTGTATTTATCACACAGTTCAGGTAGGGAAAACATTAGTAAATTTTGAATTTACCGTAAAGCGATACTGCAGATGCATTTGCGAATTTGATGACATCCCCCATTCACTTAGTAATCCTTGTTTCCACGGATCCTAGCTCTCATGTCAACCTGGAGCGGAGCAAAAACGAAAAAGACGTATAACACGTTAGTAGTATATTGCAGAGCCATCAACTCTGAACATACTCGAGATTACTTATTCACCAAGATACCTAGTATTTATAATATAGTGTGTGTTAACGAACATAGAGTTTTAACAATGGAAGCTCTGATATCATTTGAAAGTAGCTTCTTCTTTTGTTTGTTGAAAACAATACAAGTATAAACATGTATTAATCTTCTTTGAAATGATAATCATTTTCTATTGATCATGGAACCGTTAAGCAAATATAGCAAAAACAGCACAGATATGTTGCAACAAGGATGGATCAACACTAGACCTGAGAATTTGTGTATTCCTATTGCGAATTTGTGACCGTATAACTTTGTGTCTTAACCATGTGTAAGATGTATTTTCAGACCTGCCATTTTTTCTCATTTTACTGTTAATAAAAACATATTACATTACGAAAGAACAATCTTAAAGGGTCGATCGCTCCAAGTATAAATTTGAAAGGACTAGTTCGGGCATAGATAGTTTAAAGGGCCCGTGAATATATGGCAGTAACTATGCAAAACAGCATTTTGCAGCTCCACAAAGGAAGTATCAACCGAATAAATTGCATCCAAAAGGGAAATGCATTACTTTATTGGCCTTTTCTCAACAATTTGTTTGCCTCCCTTTGTTCAAAAAGAGATTCGGATTAAAATGGTATCTGAAATTTTTATTCCTACCCAACAAATAATATTTTTACAAAAAGAAGCATTTTACACATACAACATATACTCTTTTGAGCCAAAATGAAATTGAAACCTGAATATATTGAATAGCTAAGGTAGAGTTATTACTAATTATTCCTTACATCAGCCCAGAAAGAGGCTTTAACTGTACTTCAATCAATCTTATTCTACATATTGGTCCATTTGGCCTATAACTTATCATGTACAAGTAACAGAAGAAATGATACAACACAAAATATTAACATAGGCACTGCATAAATACATGAACATGTCAAAATCTATGCAAAACAAATTGATTAACACGCCAAAAATTGAAGAGATATAACACCTTAAACACGATTGTGACATGAAGAAAAACACGACAAACCATGTCCATATGGATGTGAACATTACTAGGTCTAGTCCTTACCCACACTGTATGCAACTTTGATCTAATCAATATCAGCATCAAGCATATTCCCCATTCATTCCATCCAAAATAAATAAGGGATAGCCCTCCCTAAATCAATTAGAATTACCAAGTCTGGAACAGGATTGCAAATGAAATACCTCTATGTACTCGCAAGTTATTTGGGTTCAGACTTGAAAAAACTCAAATTTGGTTCGGAGTTTATCGAGCCAAGCCCAAGTTACTCAAAGTTATTGAGTGAACCAAGTATCTTAACTTCCATGTCTTGTAAATTGCTAGCCTAATTAAGAGTATATTTTATGTTTAATATATACCTTTATTATTCTTAATTAATAGGGTAAAGTGCACAAATAGTCCCTTGATTATAGGGTGTTGCTTTGTTGAGTCCACGACTATTAAAAGTTACAAAATAATCTCTCAACTATTCATATTTTTCAAACCCGTCTTTTTTATTAAAAAATTAACAGTCATCTAAGTTGGACATTAATCTGCTAATTAAGATATGATAAAATCATATTTTAATGATTTCTACTAGCATCGTTATTGCTTTCAAGTACTAGTTCGACGATATAATATTTTAAACACTACTCGAAAAAGGAAACCATTTTTTAACGAAAAATGAAGAGTTTAGAACATATGAATAGTCGAGTGATCATTTTATAACTTTTCATAGTTGAGAGACTCGACAAAGCAGTGCCTATAGTCAGAGACCATTTTTTGGGGTGGCAATGGGGTGGGGCGGGGATAGTTTTGCATTAACCATTCCGTCCCCAATACTTGTGGGTATGGTTTTAGAGAATCCGCATTATCTGTTTCGGGGATATTTTTTGCCCCTATACCCATCCCTTACGGATCCCTGCGGGTTTCGGTTAATCCCCGCCCCCAAAAAATAAACAAACATTTTTTAAATCAATACAACACCTAAAACTTGTAAGATATATCAGACTGGCTCAAATTGGTCTCTATCTATAATATGAAAGTTTCAATCATTAATATATATCTAACACCCAATGTATATGTAGGGATGGGCATGGGTCTGGTTTCGGCCAACCGACCCGACCCGAAAAATATATACCCTCCACCCGACCCATTTTGTTTAGATAAAATCCAAAACCCATCCGACCCAACCCAAAATAATAATAAAATATTATTTTTATTCAATAAAAATAGTGATTTAATTGAAAAAAAATAAATATAGAGGGATATTATTATAATTATTCCTAAATATATAAGGTAAATTATATTTTTTTTGTGGGGTCTGGTTGGGTCCAGTATTTTTCACCCTAAACTTGAATCCGACCCGACCCGAACCCATTAAAAAACCTAACCCGTCGGGTTCGAGTTTCATGCCCATCCCTATGTATATGTACAATCTTAACGATTTTCAATCTCAACAAATCAATGTATATTAAATGAAAAAACATCTAAACTTCAATTTTAGTTCCTTTGAGATGTAACAGTGGCAACACATAATCTCATATATATTTTTTGAGGATCCCCACGATTATTTTTGTAAAATATCGGGGATCCCTATGATTATTTTTCGGGGATCCCTACGGTTATTCACACGTGTATGGTTCGATTATCCCCACAGTTTGGATATAGCAATCCCCATCCCCATTTGAACTTCGAGGATAAAACTTCCCCATCCCCATCCCCGTGAGTAAAGATTTCGATTATTCCCCATCCCCGTCGGTTCGGATTCCCACAATTTTCGGTTTTCCCCCACCCACTTGTCACCCCTAACCATTTTGTAATTATAATAATCATTATACTAAAAAAATGATCTATGGTCGAGAGACCATTTGTGTACTTTACCCTTATTAATATTGAAAAAACTCAATTTGAGCTCATTACAAATAAGGGTAACTTACACGTTTAGTACCTAAACTATCAATATTGGTTTGTTTTAGTATCTAAACTTTCAATATCAAAATCATACCTAAAGTTTAATTTTTGTTTCATTTTAGTATCCCGTCGTTAAAAACTTTAGTTTTTGTTTCATTTTAGTACCTCGTCATTAAGTCTTAAAAAATTAAAAGTTTAGGTGCTAAAACGGACAAAAATTGATAGTTTAGTAACTAAAAGCATTAAGTTTTTAATAGTAGATACTAAAATGAAATGAAAACTAAACGTTTGGCATGTTTAAAAAAAATAAAAGTTAAGGTATTAAAACGGACAAAAACTAGTAATTTAGGTACTAAATGTATAATTTGTCCAACAAACTAAGTTTGAAGACTAATGAATATCGATACCAAAGCAGTCAATTCATTTCCATCCATCCTTCCCCAAACGAATGGAAAATAAAAAAGGGGGCGAGGAATAGACTTCCCTGAACCAATTAGAATTATAACCTCCACCATTAACAAGTCTATAACTGAACCCTAAAACCATGATAATAAAGATAAAAATCTTCAGCAATAAAATGGACATGAAAAAGAAAGAAGCAGAATCAGATTGCCTGTCCTCTTTTGCAATTGAAATAAGTTTCTCCGAGTCCAACACATTCGCTTGGTATAGAAGGGCTTTTTTCTCCAGCACATTCCCTGAATGAACGCTTCTCAACCTAATTAATCCCCAAATTCGAAAATTAAGTGATATTCTACGATTTCATGTCTGGGCATTAAATCTGAAAATCAAGGGAAAAAACAAAGAGTGCAGATGAGAAAGGGAAAATAATACCTTAACACAAACTGATTCACTTAGACACTTTACCAATTCCATGGCCAAACCCTTGCAAGATTTGACATTTTTCAATTTCGCATCAATTCTTTTTTTTAAAGTATTGATGTCTTCAAATCGAACCAAGATGAAGAATGCGATCAGGTTTATCTGATTGATTACAGGGCTTTACTTTCTATCTTTTTAATTTGTTTAATATTGGTTTAATACAAAAATAAGTTCCTGAATTTGCCTAAAAAAGTTTTAGTGCCTAAAGAAATTTTCGTTAAAAATAGGTGTTTAATGTTTTTAAAGTTATATATTTAGATTTACACCGTTAAAAATCACTTTAAATGATCGTTAAGTGACACGTATCATGTTCTGGTAATTTTAAGAATTTATTTTTAAAAAAAGGAGCAATGCCCCCTGCGTGCTCCCTCTCCCTATTCTCCTTTCCCCTTCCCCCTACCCATGTGATATCGACCGGCCGACTGTGACCATTACCGCCACTATCATTAGCACCGACGTCGACCTCCAATCACTGACCTTTCGCCGTAAGCTCCCGTCGCTTGTTGTGGAGAAGCATTCGAAGTTTCATCGGATTTTAAGCCACTGTTACCATTTTTCGTCGATTCTAGCCGATCTCAACGTCCATATGCCGCGCCGTCACCATCATTCGAACCACCGTGCAATTCCGCTCAAAACCCATCATCCCCGTCGCTCCGTCGGTGCTCCTCTTGTGTTCCACCATGGTAACGGGGTTGAAATTATATATTTTAGTTTTTTCAAGTTTTTATAATTTCATTAAAAAGTTTGGGGTTCTTTTGTAAATAAATTAAGTTTTTTTTATTATTAAAAATAATATTTTTATTATTAAAAAATAAAAAAATATAATGGTGGGCACCTAAAAGTATAATTGAGAAAACTTTAGGAACCAATTTTTAATGATAAATTCTTAGGCACCAAATCATTTTTCGAGATAAAATTAAGACACTTATTTTATTATTAAGTCTTTATTTCGTTACCCTGTAATATAGCTTAATTCTATAATTCTATTTGTGTCCCTATATCTAAAAAATTACATTGTTTATTTAGTCACTCAACTACTATTTTAGTTCTGTTTTGGTAATTTAGTTAATTTTCTTAAATCACACTTAATGATGTTCTTCTTAATGATTCTTCGACGAATAAATTCAAGATTTCTATAAAATTAAGACAACGGTGTTCGCTCTCGCCGCTCTTTAAATATTATTCGTAAGTCTCTTAACTTGATGCTAAGGCTCGTTCTGCTGGCCCATTCTCTAAGGTGAAAACCGGTCCCACTAACAATTTCATTTTCATTTATCATTATCAATACGCTGATGACTTAATTATCTCTTGTGAGGCTACAAAAAATCAAGTTTGTGGCATCAAGCGAGTGTTAAGGGTCTTCGAAATTACTTCAAGGCTGAAAGTGAATATTAAGAAAAGTAGATTGTATGGTATTAATGTTAATGACTCGACCCTTGGTAGTTGGGTTGCTTCGGTGGGTTGTCAGTTTTCCTTCAAAATATATGGGGTTACCACTTGGGGCCAAAAGAAACTCTCTCGCTTTTTGGGAACCAATTATTGATTAATTTAATCACAGGCTAGCAAGCTAGAAGTCAACTTCTGTGTCTTTTGTTGGACTCTGATTAAGTCTATCCTAGCCAGCCTCTCGACTTATTTCCTCTTTGTATCCAAGTTGCCTTCCTCCATCCTTAATTGTCTCAACTCTCTAATGGTATATTTTTTGTGGGATAACGTCGTCGATAAGAAGAAAATCCATTGGGTCAAATGGTCAGCTGTTTGCTCCCCTTTAAACCTTGCTGGCCTGGGGTAATTGATTTGGACTTAAAAAATAGTTCTCTCCTTGGAAAATGGTTGTGGCATTTCCGGAATAAAGTGAGGAGTCTGTGTAAATAAGTTATATTTTGCAAGAATAATCTCTCCCTCTCTGTTATTCTCCCACCCCAAGAGATGTCAAGGGCCTTCTTGTGGCTATGGAAAGGTATAATGAACTCCTTATTTTCTTCGAACGCTGTTGGATTATGTCTAAGAAATCTATATTGGTGGTTCGTTTCTGGTCCGATGTTTGAATTGGTGACCTTCCCCTAAATGATGCATTTATGCAGATTTTTGCTTTGGCGATGAACAAAACGGGATTTATTGTTGAATTTGGAGTGAAAAGTGGCTAATATTGGCAGTGGGACATAAAACTTAGACGCAGACTACTTAATTGGGAAAGATGTCAATGGGCGATCTTATTTCTCTAATTTTAGGTTTCATTGGTTCCAAATCTGATAAAGATTGGGTGGTTTTGAAAGGCGCTAGTAATGGGTCCTCAGTGAAATCAATTTCTAAATTTCTAGCTCCCACACTAACTCAAGTTTTAATTGGAAAAGGATGATATGGCTTGGGTTAGGCCCTCCAAGAGTTGAAACATTTGTTTGGAGGGTGCTTCTTTGACGAGTCCTGGTTAAAGTCGAGCTTGAGAAAAGAGGTGTTTCGAATATTTTTAATATGTGTACTTTGCGCTTTTAATTTTCAGAATCGGTTGAACATTTATTTTTCTCGTGTTGTATCCGTGGCAGGTATTATCATACTTCTTTGCTTTGTGGAATATCTCCATTGATTTGCCTAATGATCCAATATATTTGTTCCTTTGATTTGAGGCCATACCTCGTGAACAACATGTGATTTGGAAATCTCTTTCCTTTGCTATTTTATGGACTCTTTGGCTTTTAGATATGATATAGTCTTTAAGGGGAAGTAGATCGACTTAGCTCGATCAATCTTTCTAGTTAAAATTTGCATTGTCGATGGTGTTTACTTAAATTATCAAAGTCTCTTCTATCCATGGATGACTTTACAGTAGGTCTAGTGAGGGCTAAATCAAACTTAGAAACCTCGTATATCCCATTACAGATCTTGTGTAATGCCCCCTTCAATTGGTTAAAACCTAATGTAAATGGGGCGTTTAAGGATGCTGGTAATATTGGAGGGGTCGGTGGTATCATTCGCATTGATCTATGTTAGAATATTTTCTCTTTTTCTTATTGTGTTGGTGTTGGGTATTTTTATGACTAAACTGTTGGCCATCAAATACGTCATTAATAACTCCGCAAAAAGGCTATATTTAGGACATCTTCACTTAAGTTATTGGTTGTTTCAAGGCACATGTAGGATCATTTAGATGCATTTAGGAGCGTATAGCTATTTTTGGTGGTTTGACTTTGTCATGGCATATTACTGTGTAAATGGTGTTATTTTACAGGGAAGGTTTGTGCTTTGTTGGTGATGTGCACGTCAATGAAGCAAGGGGTGAACATGGAGGAATGTTGCGGCATCTTCAGATGGAAAGCAAGGAAGAATTGTAATTGGGACAACTCCTATACGCAGAAAAAAACATGAAAAAGATATTTTCACGGAAGCTGCCAGCTGTACACACTCACGTGTTTTCTGCCACCAACCGCCTAGGGGGACCACAACCATCTTTGTAACCATTTTCACGTGAGTGGAATGTACCTTAGGTACTAAGGTAATTTTTGCACTAAAACCTAGTGCATTCCCTTAGTATAAATAGAAAAGGTGGCCACAAAATGAAAGGGAGTATTCTTTGAGGGAAATAGTGAGCTAAGCACGGCAGCTAGAAAGCTTCCAACTTTCTTTCCACTTTCATCTTTTCAAGGGTCTCCTCCATAGTCAAGCTCAAGGGAGTGGCATGCTAGGTGTTCGAGAGGAGCTAGCTTGCTAAGGTACCGATCGTGGTGGTTCGAGGAGCAACCGACAGCGCGAGTTGGGAGTGTCCTCCACCCTTATGCTTTATTTCCTTTTGATTTATTGGGTTGTATGGTTGGAATAATGTCATACAGATTTCAAACCCCACCATGAACTAATCCTTATATGGTGTGGGTTTTTATGGGTGATTAAGTACTTGTTTAATGAATGTATTGAGTTTTATGTCCATCTATTTGTTTTTCTCATTGTGCTTAATTACTTGAGATTGTAGGAGGCATGAGAGTGTCATTTTTTTTAAGTATATTGCTTAGTTTTCGAGAGAAACTAGGTTATAGATCCTTAGTGTTTGAGAGAAACTAAAGAAGGATCTACACGAGCAACGGGTTTTAGCTGCCAACTAGAACCTAATCCACCTTAGAGACAAGGCTATGATTTCAGCAACTAAAAGGAGTAGTGCATATTCGATAGGTTCGATGTTACTGTTCATGCCAGAGGTATTGCCATGGCATTTGGTCTGTCAAGTTCCCTTGGTCGAGAGAGCGTAGGGACACTCTTAGTAAAATTTTTCGAAAATAGGCCATAAAAGCTTGAATCATTTTGAGAGGCAAGACTTAGGATGCCTTAGAAATCCCACCATTCATTTCCATAGTAGCTTGTCCTATGAGGATTATTAAGTCTGCCTAATTATTTCCAAATTCTCAACTCATTTTGCACTGTCATTTTCAGTTATTACATTTTCAATTGTCATAACATTCATCTTGATATACTACTACATTGCCATCATATTTCCATACGACCATTGAACACCAATCCCCATCCATTCCATTTTTGACACTACATATTCACTTGTGAATATCACCACACTAACTATACTTAGATAATTTAGTATTTGTGCTTTAACTTAACTTGCAATTTCCTCCAATCCTCGTGGGAAGGATACTCACTCACTCTTATTACTTGTGTGACTGTGTATACATGCACATAATTTGCATCCAATTTATAGTACTTACACACACAACAATATTTTAGTGTCGTTGCCGGGAATTGACAATCGGAAGTTTAACAATTTTGTTATAGCTTTTTTATCTTACTCCTATTTTCTAGTATAATTTTACTTGTTTTTCTTTATTTTTCTTTTTCAGGGTTTTCCATTACATGATCAGAAGAACTATTGAGGAATCTTTATATATTCTTGTACCTAAAATTGAACATTTGTATCGTAGAAGACGACGTGCTCAAAATGTTAATAGAGCTATGAACAACAATCAAAACCAAGGAATTTAGCTGATACAAGATCCAATAGATCCAAATATTGTGACAAATCGGAATGTTGGAATTGTACCCCGACCTACAGCTATTCGAGATCATTTAATTCCTATCTTGGATGATCTCAACCCTGGAATTATAGCACCCGAGATTCAGGCAGCCCACTTTGAGCTTAAAAAGTCATGTTCAACATGTTGAACTCCATAGTACAGTTTGGGGGTATGCCTCAGGAAGATGCTACGCAACACATTCGTGCTTTCTTGGAGGTGTGTAATTCTTTCATGTAACAAGGAGTGCATGAGGATGTGTTGAAGCTTAAATTATTTCCATATTCTTTGTGTGACCGAGAAAGGGCTTGTTGAGTGGAATTTGTCCAACTCGATGGAGTCATGGGTTGATATGTGTAAAAGTTTTTGTTGCAGTATAATTCGCCGAATATGTACACTCAACTCAGAAATGACATATCATCTTTCCATCAAGCTGATGACGAGTTTATGTATGAGTATTGGGAACGATAGAAGGGATTGCTTCGAAAATGTACTAATAATGGATTTCAAGATTGGACTCAAGTTG